AGCAACAGAGATTGCAGCTATGCGGCGAGGTTGAGTACAGACAATGTTGCAAGAAGCGCCTTTTCCCTTGCTAATGGCGTCTTCCAACAATATCTGTGGTACCTGGGTAGTTTTACCGCTTCCCGTAGCCCCAACAATGATACTGTAGACATTGTTGTTGACTAGGTCCAAGATTTTAGCCCGGTATTGATTCATTGGCAGCTCGGCTTTCTGGTTCCGGAGATCTGCAAGCTTGGGATCTTGATAGAATTCGTTCAACTTTTGCACCAATTTCTCGTCTCGCTGTTGAGCTTCATGAGCTTCCAGTGGGCGTCGATAGCCGCCTTTCCGGCTTTCGGAAAGGTCCACTCCGGATCCGACATCTTGAACTGCGTCCGGTAACCCTGCCTTACGAGCTCCGAGTAGTGTCTCACGCATGACAAGGGAGCAGTCTTCGTCGACTGGCATATCCACAGGGGCGACAGGCCTCATGATCTGTCCATTGCCATTTCGTAAAGCTCGAAGGAATCGGGGATATAGCTCCGGCTCTCGTTTTTTCAAGGAGATAGCGGCGGTGAGATAAGCAGTTTCCTCGGCTTTCTTTTTCAACAACATAGTCACGGGCTCGCCGATCGCTTCGCCATTAATCATCACCTGGACGCGAGTAGGCACGCTTTGCAAGCCCGTTTTTTCTAGCGGTCGTGTGGCTTTGGTCTGTATATCGACACCGGGTCGAATAATCCTATAGAACTCCATGAACTTTGACGCATTATCCGTTGTCAATTCACCGGAGTCCTTTATGACGATTGTTTCACTGCCATGTTCCTTTTGGTATCTCTCTGCCTCGTCCTTGAACATATTCGCAGCTCGAAGCTGAGCAACCTGGATCTCTCCACCTTGGGATTTGACTCGAATGCCTTGCTCTGGAAGCTCCACTATCATTTCGACGAACCTTTTCCGTCTCTTACGTTCCAAGCGAGTAGCAATATTAGTACTGATTTTGGGGACCGTGTCAAATCGGGCTGCGTAGTTGTATATGTCCATTAGTGCATCCTTTGCTTCGGCTTTTGATTTACTCATAGACTGTTTATTAATCTGATTTGTGCCAGAATTTCTGTTGAGAATCTCCCCAAGTATACCTTGCTCGTGAAATTTTGCCATCATGTGTAGCCAAGCGGTGTCTTCGGCGGCTTTCTACGAAATATTAGTACACCTTACTTCATGAAACTGAGCGGCTTGCCTTGGTTCGACCTTCCCCAATGACTGCTTCGTTGTGCATCGCAGAATTGTAGTAGGCGGTGCACTGGTGAGCATCCTGGGCTAGGGTGGTAAATTCTGAGCGGCACTCTGCTAACCCATCTGCTAGATTGTGAATGGATCCTTTGGAGTTCTTGAAGACGTCTCGCGGTACATCGGGATATTCCTGGGGTGTGGGCATATGCATGGTGCTTCTGATGTAGGCTTCATCTTTGAGCTCCGGAGCGTTGCCGCGCTGTCGTCTAGCTGATGGTTGGCTGAGGGAAGCTGTGGCCTTCCTCTTTCTGCTCCCAACACCAGGCTGTCCCCGCTTCTGGGGGCGGTTGCGCGGCTGTCTAGACTGTGTGGAAGGCTGGGCGTTGTGATGAGAAGGGTTTGCCGATTGATGAGAGGAAGGATTTGATGCTGCATATTCTGGCGAAGGTTCCTTGGAAGCCTCCTTTGCCACTCCATTTTTCTTTTTCCCGAGTAGTATTGCTTCCATTCTCTCGTCATTTGGTACAGCCCTAAGCTCCTGTCCGGTGGAGCTGTAGCGATTCTGCTTGGGACCTCTCCATGGTTGGATGTTGAGAGCGTTGCGAGAGGGTACAGCTGACGGCATGACACGCGTACGGAGGACCTAGAGGAACAAGTCAATCCAAAATTGCCAAGCTAGGAGGTCAAGTCACCAGGAACATACCAAAGTCCGTATCATCTTTCCCAAGTGTCGGTCTTCAAGCAGCTCGAGATGAACAAGATGGTATGCTCAGATCAGCACATATGTAGAGATGAGACAAGGAGCATGCACCAAAGATTTGCGAGGCATAAAGATTCGAGTATCCAATCACTCCTCAATCGCGAATTCTGTATTGCTTGCCTCCAACTCGAAGAATCTTTTCTTGCACTAGTCCCATTAGCGCTTGGTGGCTAAACTAGCTGCCGGAAGAGCTCCCGCTCCGTCTTACGGTATCAAAATCAGCGAAGGCATGCTTCTACACCCGTGTAAAGGGGATCGACTCAAACGAAAGTACGAGCCATCAGCTGCAAATTCTCGTGATTTCAATGTCAATGGTCAGTGTCCGAGACCACCAATGACAGTCTGCATATCGAGTTAATTCCCTGTGCGTATGCCAAAACATTTTCTCTGTTCGAAAACCGATCAGTCACTCTTCACATCGTGCCTTGATACATGATTACCGCATGCATTTGCAGCTAACTTTGGCCAGAATAATCACCGACGACTATGATATTGACAGATCGTATCAGCAATCTCTTCGGTGTTAGCACTCCATTCGGACTTGATAGGATCGGCAGTGCTAAGCATGTATCGCACATCGCCCCGAGTAATTATTACTCATAACGTGGAATGGCTATGCCAACACCTGAGATATACCTGGATCGACTCAAATACGATGGCTCCGCAAAACCAGCCATCACCAGCCACCTCCAGTACCTCAAATATTTTACTCAAGTTCCCTAACGCCAATACCTTCCCTAAGATTCTTTCCTCCCACTTGACTAAATCTCTCCTTCTAGACCCGAGGAGAAAGGATCGCGGTCGTACGAACTTGCGGAGCCCAACCGCTTATAGAAGTACTTTTTGTACGTCTATGATATTTCCCGCGACTCGGAATTGTATACTTTGTGTGATGCACTGAAAGACTGTTTCGATGCTGGTGAAAGACCAACCTTAGGATGCCAGCTCACCCATTAGGCCTGACTTTGCAAGTATGTCTTTGACGTTCTTGATGCATTGAGTGATGACTTCGCCGTCGATGAATGACCGACTTTGCTGATGCTATCAACCGTCGCATTACTAAAACTCCCTATCTATATCCGATTGTCACACGCTTTTCTGCTTCTCTGTATTTTGTGTTCTCGATGGTAGTGGCCGACTCTTGACCGCCTCATATATTGAAAGCTTGGTCTGCTCTTCTTCTTCATATACAGAAATGGAGGTCTCGTCATCTTGCCGCACTTTTTTCCCTCCGCAGACCAAAGAGAGCGGCTACAGCACTCAGATAATAGCACGAGTACCTTGTCCCTATTCTCGATTACCAAGGAAATCAAATACTCTTTGTAGCCAAGCTGTTCATCACCGCCGATGACTGCCGATTGCTGCGAGACTGCCAATACCTTCAAGCGTCGGGAGTTGTCCGTCTTCTACAGCGGTGTGGACAAAAGCATCATACCTTGGAAAAATAGGCATGTGGTTGGCTACATGTGTTCTGTGTTCCTCGTGTTCCACAGATAAGAAGGACAAACAATTGGCTAAGTATGAAAGGGTTTAGTCTCTAACGTAAATTCGTGTGCCATTTGAGTGGGAACATTATTTCGGCTATTCTGTGCTTATTCTACGGCCGGATGAGCGGGATGCCGGGCGGGCCGGTCCCGCGCGTCACCCTTTTCTGCGTGGACAAATGGGTGCAGGATGCCCCCTCTCCAAATTGGCATGATGCTTGGGGCCCATCCGCTGGATCCCCCATTGGTGTCATGGATGTTGGCATACAGCCCTTGCACAACATCGACTGGAGGCTTTCAGCTGTGACGAACGGAAAGAGGAGAGAAGAAAAAAACACTGAAAAAGAACAGCACGAAGAAATAGTATAGACCAATAAAGTTCCCACTGCACAGCTGCTGGGATTGCAACTCATCTATCACTGATATTCGTGCAGGATGCATTTCTCTGCTTGTACTTTCACCCTCTCCGCCATCTTTACCTCAATTATATCCGTCACTCCCCACTCAGAGCATTCGAGGATGTCTTAAGCAAGCGCCAGGCTTCAGGCGTCCTCAACCCGAACGCTTCAATTGTCGACCTGGGCTTTGAATGCCACCGAGGTGTCTTGAACAGCAGCACCGGATTGAATAAGTGGTTGGGGTACGAACGAGAACTTATAATTGTTGATGCATCTGATTATTGATAAATGGTTCATTATTCGTCATGTAGCTCCTCCAACAGGCCAGTGAAGATAAACCGCCCCGCAGTCCCTACCGTGAATCGTGGTCCATTCCCCCGCTGATCATACTATGAACATCCCCAATGATCCCACCCCGTTTACCCACCGCGCGTTTGCCTTGTCAGACCTGCCAACTTACGCACGATCCTAAGCTGCTTCTCGATATGTGAAGGTGTGACTGAACCAAGTCAATCGGAAAGCCATGCGCGCTGGAACAGCTGCATATGATATCTGGATTCTGAATAAGTATGGACTTTGTGTTTTGAACTCAGTTTGCTCAGGGGGCACCAAGATGAGCGAAGTCTTTGGGATCCGGCCTGTGATTAGGTCGCTCTTACTTCTCGAAGGAGCACGTGTTTATTTGAGGTAGGTTCTTAGGGACCAGACCCACCGTAGGGTGGATCTTCTTATTTCTGGGCGCGTAGTTGAACAGGGTTTGGGAATCGAGTACATAACGAGATGGCGCTGTCGTGCTCGAGGACAATACGTTTAGATTAAGCGAGGTATCGAGCCGTGATGAGATAGCTGCTCTTGCTCTGGGTCACAAGATGCAAGCATATTGCCGCTGGATTTTTGGAGATGACGAAGAAGAAAAGATGTGACTAGTATGGGCGCGTGAGAGTTGAATGTTCTCGGATGCAGGATGTATTGTTTGCGCACATCCACCGAAATGAAGGCGAAGGACGATGATGCAACAGCCAAGAAATCGGAGAGCGCGCCTGTACTACTGCTAAACTCGTTCCCATCATTATAAAGGCACAGCGCATTCAAGATTGTCTGTTCAATCCTGTCCTCTTTGAGCTTGATGCCAAGCGTCCCACAAACCTACACTGCCCAAAAACTGGCCGCATATTGAGCAGAGACCAATTTTACCCTGGTGTGTCGGTCAGGAAGTGTGATACGGGCAAAGGTAACGGATCGTCCACGAAAGGCAAGATGTTAAGAAGAACTCACGGATCGAACCTTCACTCTTTCAGCGTGCCATCTTGACCGGCCGACCGCCCACGCCGCTCAATCATGGCAGCCTTGAGCTTCGGGAAGAAATCTCGCGCTAACACTGTATCCGAGTACTCCTTCGAGCAAGTGATCTTCTCGCCACTCTCATCGAAATCGAGCAGCCACATGTACTCATTCACATACTCTCCGGCCACCGTATCGCCTCGGGCGCTCAGGTACAAGCAGATGCGGTTGGCTTGTTTGTCTTCGAGCAGGTCGTTGACGGTGCATGAAAAGTTGTGGAAGATACCGGACAGCTGGTGTAACGAGTCGCCATATGTGGCGTTGTTTTGCGGCGAAAAGCCTAACGATTTGGGTATGAAATGACGGAGGCAGTCTGGACTGCGGTGAGCTATGATGCTATCGACGTCCATGTTGTTGAATGCTGCCACTACTGCCTCGGCCGTTTGTCTTTGCCGAGAGACGGTCATGGTGGGAGTTTGCTTTCGATTCTGGTGTATAGGCGAGCCGAAAGGAGTTGCGGGCCAAGCTGGACTTGTAGATCAATGCCATCTCGTCTCAGGGATGCTTCCCTTCCTTTATGTATTCTGTCCGGAAGGAGGTGCTCCCTGACTGGCATTGATAACCTCGGAGCTAATATGAGCACTAGTCGCGATTTGGCCACGGGATATCGGGCGTCCGAGATTCCGACTGTTCGTGTCAGGATTAGCGCAAAGTGTGCTGCCACGCGCTCACAAAATAATCTCCATTTGTTGGTTGGATGATAAGGCACGTACGAATCGAGTGAACTCTAAAAATGCTCCCACCACACCATTATACTTGGAAGCGGAGGCAGAGACTGGTCCATTATTGTCTTGTTCCCGGCAGTGTATAGTGAGAGAACGGACACATGCTAGTGGCCTGAGACTGGTGACCACCATGACGGTTACGATCTTGAAGAGAATTGAACCCTTCACAACCGAACGTTGAATCATGGCTGAAGCCTGTCGAGCTCTGGATGAACACAGAACATTGATGGTAGAGAAACATTCATGCAATGAATCGTAAACGATGAGGGGCTAAAGAGAAGAAAGAACCGCCCAATGGGCTGGGCAGTGAGGGTTGGAATCTTGCTCGAGTCCAGTCAAAGACATCAGCTCTTGATGCAGGTCTCGGAAGCAACAGAGGCTTCGCTGAGCCCGAAGCATCTACAATACAAGGAAAATTCTCATGGCTTTCAAAGACATCGCCGCAAGCGGAACAAAGCCTGCTTGTTTCATTCGTCTCCCTTATCTTCTCGTTACCTCCATAAAATCTACGAGAATTTCCATCATTTCTGTAGTTGTCTCTAGCAGTCCTGCCGGAAAAGTCTGAAACTTTGGCTTCCCTATTTTCATTCTGACCTCTTGCAGCATGGCACTTCCAAGCAAAGCCAGAAAGACTCGGAGCCAAAAAGGCGTCAAAGATGCCGCCACGGTCGCTGCTCGCCATACCGCAGTGGGTGCTAGTGCGGCTGCTGCCTTCGATGAACCAACGATGCGCCATAGGTCTAGTAAAGGCTTTCCAAGCCGTGTCCGCACTTCATCCAGCACTGCACGAATTACTGCAATCAATGCTTCGAAGCTTCGAGTTGACTCGATGTCGGACATGCAGCTCAATGACATGGCCACGAAGCAGCTCTTGGCCGAATTCGAGGCTACTCTAGCGAGCCCCAGAAAGGGTTCGAATAATCATTCCAAGCATCACGGCAAATAGCCATGAGTCGAAGCTCGCGACTAGCTTGCAGAAACTTCCATCTTCGCCTGTGGAACAAGAGTCATACTCTGTGGCAGCAATCGTACTTTTTCGTTGCTCGCCTTATTGTTTTTGGCATAGCCACAGCAGAGTACCTCTTCAGTGGACGTGGGATTCGGAGTCACCAGAAATGCATTTCTGGAAGCACATCAAGATTGCAAAATTTAAGATACCAGAGCCAATGGAATCAAGTCATGTGAAGGGCATTTCGAAAGAGCCTGTCGTACTTTTGCCAACTCTGCTTGCCTCGGCAAAGCTCTCGACAATGAGACACCGGCCCAGATGTCTTCCAATCAAAATCATGCTTTACGTAATCAATTCTCGTATTTCGAGTCGATCGACAACAGGGCGACCACGGAAAATTCCGATCCGAGAGCAATCGAGCACCAATCACAAGTACCCTACCACGCCTGCGTCGGTCTGCGCGACGAGACCCACCTATGTCTCTCAAGGGTCACCATAGTCCCACTCAATGTTCAAACAACACCAAAAGAATCCTTGATGAAGTACATGTTTTTCGACAAGGTCAAACATCTCAAGGCTTACCACACTAGCAAATCGACCGGGCCGCTGAGAGATGGAAGTCCCGCGCAATTGCTCGTGCAAACCTCGATCAAAACCTTTCCACCAAACGATCCGGACTCGGTAACGCCCATCTTCCCATGGCAAATGGCAGTAACAATGCCAGAACAGGCATCAACCAACAGATCCAAGCCATACTATCTTCATGGGATGACGAGAACCGGCTTGCTTATGATCTCGGCCGGTACGGTGCAAAGGCCCGGGAAAAACCACACCCCGTCCGGGCAACTCAAGATGTTTACCGCGCCTGCGGAAACCGGAGGACCTAGTTCATCCGTACCTGGACTTTTTGAAAAATCTCAATGGACAAGATCAGGATTGCGCTCGCGAGTCTTACGGCTGTGTTGGTGGATGTCGCAGCGGCGGCCACTTCGGGCGCTGGTGCGGAGAGAATCCGAGATGTGTAAGAGAGTTTGGCAAAAGCGAAAGTAATGCATAGAGGGTGGGAACAAGCAGGCGAAAAGTATCAAAAGAAAAGGGGCACTGTAGAGCTTAGGTATCTTCATTTTTGGACACGTTTGTGGATATCAATCAGAGTGAATTGGCTGCTGTCCATCTCAGTAATCCCTAAACACAGAGTATTCGATGTAAGAAACAAAGCTTCCATTCATTCTAATAGATAAAATTCATGGTCCGTTTTCTTCCGATTATCGTATCTCTCTGGCAGCGCACCTCTCGAGGCTCAGAAACTTTAGGATTGCCTCTAGGCATTACTCTCTCTTACCACCAATCAGATGGCTCGTGAACTCAGCAATCCGACATAAGAACAATCTGCGTACTTTTATTACCCGACGCTGTCAATGATCAGCGTGGCATCTTCGATGCAACGCGGTTACAGAGCTTGGTGACACGAATACGCTCAACCGGCTTCCACCCTTCTTGTGGCATCACTTACTCCACCAAACTTCTCCGACTTGACATGACGCTGACCATAATCTGGGGCCCCTACACGAATGATCTGACAATCGCCTGCTTCAAGGTGGGTATGGGCGGCAGGGGACAACCGTTGAGCGAGGACCTTTCCGGGTAGAGAGTGATGCGCGTGCTACTGGATCGTCGGCTCTTTCCCATTCTCAAATCACATATGCATAGTACAAAAACGACGCTAACACATTGTATCTCGTACATAAGATTACTGCTCGTAGGAATCTTACGGTTACTCGGCTGCAACCACGTCACCGGGGTCGAGAAAGGTGTGTTTCGACCGTATATGAGACATTGTAGGATCATGAATTCATCTCCTTAGGTTTGGCCACGATGCAGGGTCCCTTTCCAAGTCACCTGACAATTCGCGGCTCAAAGATGACACCGGCGGTAAGAGATTGGCTGGTGGCAATACCGGCTCCGATGCCTTCCCGACCGTCTAAGGCAGGCGACTCCTGACCTTTTCTCTTTGATCAAATCTATTCCCATCATCCTAGTACCTAGCACAGGACTTCAACGTAGAAATGGATACTCAACGACAGCACCACTCCGGGAAGAAGCCACTGTCGGGCGCATCGAAAAGACCTGACGCATTCTGGAGTTTGATTGTGCCTTCGGCACGCCTAAAGAAGGGAAGGCTAGATCACAATAAGGGAGCCACTCCAGCACACCCTCAATTAAGCCATGCTGAAGAGCTCAAGGGCACACAACCAGCGGTTCGCAAGAATAAGGGAACCCCTCATGTCATCACAAGAGCAGATGCAACAGATCTTCCCCCCCATCTTGGTGTGACGCCCAAAGACCCCAAATCCATGGAAGGCAGAGCGAAAGGAAGACCAGAATCCGGCACGAGAGAAAAACCAGTAGACCTTGATGCTAGCACTGATGAAGATCGCAAAGGCACACAGGCTCAGCCTGGGATACGCAGAGAGAAAAGAAGATCGGAATCCACCGCTCGAGCACAACCAGCACTCCCTTATATCAGCCTTGCCGAACAGCTCAAGCGTAAACAGCCTGTGGAGAACGAAAAGCATGTTGACAATGGTGGGCTCTTTGAGGGCGGGTTTTTGGCTCCGACCTCTGCGTTAAATATGGACGGCAAAGACGAAGAATCTTCTGGAGGGCCGGACAACATAGAAGGGTCGGACGATGACGAGGGATACCTCGAGGATGACGACGAGGATGACAGCGAGACTGCCTCTGATGCTTCGAGTCCTGCTAAACAGAGATCCCAACCCTCGTATGGGACGCCTCGAAGAGCAAGTGCCAGAATCCGAGGAAGTAGGTGGAAGTTGTTCAAGGAGCTCAGCGAGCCAACTGCACCAAAGCGGAAGAAGGCACCTTCCCAACCAGCAAGCGCCAAAGGTGAAAGACCAAGAAAGAGAGTCAAATTCAGGGTCGAGAAGTCTGACGAAGATTCTGACCAAAATTTTGGCGAGGAAGAGGACGAGGAGGAGGCCTCTAACAGGAGCGTGCCTTACAAAGTGAATCGCCGAATCAAAGCCTGCGCTCAGGGAAAAAAGTTGTCAATTCTGCCGGCAGTGCCTCCGCTCTCAAGGCAGTACCAGCCATGGACCGAGAAGGAAGATGAGACCTTATTCAGTCTACGAAACCAAGGCAAGAGTTGGACATACATTGGCGAACGTATACTTGGCAGAACAACGAAAGGAGCCAAGAGCCGTTGGGACATTTTGAGAACCGAGTCTCTACGTCCCGTTGAGAGTCGAGCCAAAGGGCCCAGTCGACGACTGCAATCTTCGGTTGTATCTGTGATGGCCAAAACCCCAATGATAAACAAACCCTGGTCCAAAGATGAAGAGGAAATTCTGATGAGGTTACGCACTCAAGGTAAGCGTCTCAAGTATATCTGTAGGCAGATTCGGGGTAAATCATACGCCGCGTGTAAGAATCATTGGCGCAAGATCAAAGGCCAGTATCAGCAGACGGTCACGGCTCCTAGAAATCTTGAATCTGACGGGAAGGGAGATCCATCAGATCGCCGGGATACTCGGTTTTCTTCTGCAAGCCAGCTTGACCAAGAGGCAAAAGATGCCAAGTCAGACTCAAGTTCTGCCATTGTTGAATGCAAGCATCCTAGGCCAAGCACCGATGGCGATTTACCCATCGACCCTGATGTCAGTATCTTATCAGCAACGCAGCCGTACCAAGAGCCCATAGCAGTCCATGTGAACCTAGCATCTACTGTTGCTAGCAAGAGTCCCAAATTCAAGGCCACTTCGAAAGATCACCACGATCAGCAGGCTTCAAACGCCCACGCGGTTGGCGAGGATCTCTCAGCCAATATTAATGGTTCAGCACACCCGAATCAGTCGGGCCCGCAAGATGTCATTGCTAGAAGAGATCCCGAGACCAAGAAGGATGGGTCATGTCAGGGAAATTTACTGCTTGTATCTCTCTCTGCGCAAGGAACGCATCGCCGGTCGCGTTCCTGGCCGCAATGACGGCAAGTGCGAGGAGCGCTATGGGAGTATGGGGGTTATTTCTTGTTGTGAATGAGCATTCGGAGAGAGGCCGAGGGAACCATACGTGCATACCTGGTTTCTACCCTCACACTTGGCTTGCATCCTCATACGACTCTCCCAAGTTGGGGCGAGGATGCTTTGGTCCTTTGGCTCGAGAACACCTGGACCCAGCGGGTCTGAGGAATATGTGGTTACGATTGGTGCATATAGAGAGGGCTGGACCTTGCTTGCGGTTATTTCCAGCGTTCAAGGCTCTGACTTGTGGCCAAAAAAACTCGATTTTGTGTTTCCATTAGGGGGAATTAGTCTTTTGACATGTCATGGTAGCTTCCTATCTCTTCATAATGCCAACCGTGATCCCAGCGAAATCTATATAAAATTCTTCGGCCGAAAAGCCAACAGTTCGCGCCAAGACATTTTCAGCCCTACATGCATCTCCAGAAATTTGTCTCAGAACGGGTCCCGCCTAAACGTATATTTCAAACATACCAACATAGCATCTTACAACTACCTTCTCACGGGCTTCAACGCAGGAAAGTGCACCAACTAGCCTTGTATTCTCACCCCTCCCATCACTGGCCGCCATGGCCCAATACTACCCGCAACAACAACCCCCCTACAATCCCCAAAACCTCCAATTCTACCAGTCCACCTACCCAGCCCCCGTCTCCGGCCATTCCACTCCCTCACAAGCACATTATGGCTACGGCCAACCATCGGCCCCACAACCCTACCCGAGCTCTGGCGGATTTGGGGCGGCGCCCAGTTTTGGCGGGCAAGGCGTCAGTGGGCGCATGGGAGAGCAAGGGGGATTGAGGACAGGCTGGATCGCGGCGTTTGGAACGGAAGGATACGATGGGGAGCCGCCACTGTTGGAGGAACTGGGGGTCAATTTTGGGCATATTAAGGGGAAGGTACGTGACAAGAGCTGCAGCACGTGCATGCTGAAGCGATAGTCGAGAGGGACCTGAGTGCAGTTGTCTTTCGACTGTTCTGGACAGCAGACACGGATTGTGAAGAACGTGGGCTAATGCTGTGGCACGTTTTTAGACGCTCACAGTACTCAACCCTCTGCATCCCATCTCCCAACATATAATGGACGACTCCGACCTCGCCGGCCCCATCCTCTTCTTCCTCCTCTTCGGCACCTTTCTCCTCTTTTCCGGAAAAGTCCATTTCGGTTATATATACGGCCTCGCCCTCGTCGGCTCCCTCTCCCTCCACACGATTTTCTCCCTCATGTCCCCACCCCCCGAAGGCAATTCTCCAACATCCACACCCTCATACGCCCAACCCACGCACGACCATATGAGTGGGGCAGGCGGTATGGGAGGCGGTGGCCAATTGTCGAGTACGTTGACGTTCCCGCGGAGTGCCAGTGTGTTGGGCTATTGCCTGCTTCCACTGGTCCTTACGAGTTTCGTGGGAGTGGTATTACCGATGGACACGGCGGCCGGGTATGTGATTAGTTCACTGGCGATTTGCTGGTGCACTTATAGCAGCAGTAAGATGTTCTGCGCCGTGGGGAGGATGCGGAGTATGAGAGGGCTGGTGGCGTACCCTTTGGGGCTGTTTTATGTTGGATTTGGGATCATGGGGATATTCTCGAGTAAGGGAACGGGTGGGTTGGGCAGGGTTGCTACCGGATGAGGCGAAGCTGTGGTTGCAGGGTAGATGGTCGGTGGAAATGTACAGATATGCTAGGAATGTCACTGGAATAACAATCGAAAAAACATAACGTATTTTCTAAGTGCATCAAGCCTGGAGACTGACCTGAAAAGTTATGTTCGTTCCGAAGTTCAATCTCGGGTCTTATGCTTTCAAGTCCCAAGCAGATTGTCAATACTTTTGCACATGAGAGGCTCCTTCTTGGACATAAAGGTGATTGAAAATGTGATGAACGGGAATCAGGATGCTTTTCATATATTCTGCTCATACATGCCTGCGATCTTACACCCTGTCAGACCGCATGATTTAATTTTAGGGGGGTAGGATTCCCTATTCATGCTCGTGTTGTAGACAGAAGAACATCAAATTCGGGATTCAAGCCAGTAATATACACCATCATTTCGCAGCCTCCGCTCTAGTAGGCGCAAAATCTCGTAACCAGCCCCTAGCTTTATCCAAATCACCGCCCGTCGCCTCCAACGAAGCGACACACCATTCCGGCTCGTACCCACTATTCTCCGTCATGTTTTGTCTCTCTTTGGCCTTCCCTTTCCTACTCTGATCCCCCTCGGCGGCAACCATCTCAGCCAAACACCTTCTTTTCTGACTCGCTTCATCTGTACAAAAATGCATGGGCACGTTCCCCTCCTTGAGCCCCTCAAGAATTGGCTTGATCATGGCCAGGGCTTCTTTCGACGACGTGCTTTGCGACTCGGCCGCCGTACCTGTATTTCTGCGGCCGGTCTTGCAATACCCGTTTCTGCACCAGCTTTGCCCGCATCCGGTGAGCAGCTGCGTCAGGTACTTGCGCTCCACGCGACGTCGGAGGGCTTTGCCATCGGGGTCGTACATTGTTACGTAAAGAGGGCCGAAACAGACGTCACACACGCCTAAATCGTTCCTTGGTCCCTTGACTTTGACTTCGCCGCCTTTGTTTACCCCGTCGAGCGTGCGACCGCAGTTGACATTTCCGCAAAGGCGTGGCTTGGAGCGAGAGAGGCGTTGCAGGTCGTGGTGCTTCAGATGGGTTGACATATCGCGGAGGCGAACGATCTTACTACAGATATGGCATTCCGTGGTCCTGGCGCCATCGGAGAGCTCGTGGGGCGTGAGACCTGAGAGTATTACTTCTGCAGAGTCGGAAGATGGATCTTCCGAGCCTTGCTGTGGGACTTGTAGGTGGCAGAACTGACAGAGAATCAATTTACCGGGGCAGGTCGTGGTTCGGTGGTGTGCTAGATCAGGGGTGTTGGCAGCTTCATAGTCGCAGGACGGACATGACCGGGAAGTGTGCATGAGGGAATCGTGCTTGGTATGCGAAGAGAGCGTGTTACCATGAAAGGAGTCGTGCGGGCAGTGCCAGTGATTTTGCCATTCTGAGGAAGATTTTTGATAGACGAGGTGACAGTGCGGGCAGAGGATGTTATTTCGGAGGCAGAAATTTTGATGTAGGAACATTGTGCGCTTAGGAACGGCTTGGTGGCAATTGGTGCATCGTTCCTCGTCTGGTCCAATGGGCTCGTCATCGTTCATGGTGGTGTCGTCTTGATTGGAGATGGACAACCCATCGATGGATGAGACGCGAAAATTGTATTGTAACGGAGCTTGTCCCTGAGCGTCTCGGTCAGATTCCCCATAGCCTCTCACAGACATCCATAAGGCTTCTGCATTATCTAAGTCTGCGTTCGTATGCCGTATCTTGACTCTTTTTGTTGCTCTGCTTGAAAAGTCGCCAAATACGAATTCCTCCTCCCTTGGTTTGCTGCGATGGTTGGCTCCGAACGGGGAGACGAATAGATCAATGTCCTTGTCGTTATCAAGAGCTGTCAGTTCGAACTCTAAATCCCTGCCCTTGTCCCATTGTTCGAGGCTGTAGTCCACGTACTCGCCAGGGCGAACCTGACCCGTGTCATTGGTATTCGCGTCGACCGTCCCACCTGCAGAACTACCTTCGCTTGTTCCTGGAGCTCTTTTAGATTTCTGTACGAGTTTTTGCAAGTTTTCTCTAGCTTGGTCCTCGTTCAAAGGCTCAATATCCACTTCGAGATCTGTATCCACTAGAGAAATCGCCTCCTGATTCGGCTTCAGTCCATCCACTAGAAACCGAAACACTTCTTTGCCAGCTGGTACTGCGAGAACTTCACCATTCGTCAACGTGGTGTAGTTGTCACGCAGATACTGCTCCAGAAGTGCCTTCCAATCTTCTGGGTCGTAGCCCGCCTCCAGTGGTCTCAGCTTGACATAAGTCCCTTTTGGTATTTCTTGTACATGCACGGTGAGCCTGGGGAATGTTCCATCGGCTTCTTGAACTCCTGATCTGTTGACCTCCATGTCATGGTCTATTCCGCTCACCTCTTCCGGACCCTTCTCGCCACCAAAGCCCAGGGATTGCCTCAAGAACGAACTCAGTCCCACCACGTTTTCTGCAGCCGAGAACTCTCGGATACCTGCGAAAACAATCCTGCCATTTGCAGGGTTGACCAGTCGGAACGTTAAAGGATGGGGTAGGTTCTGTTGCTGCTCGACCATTTGCTCTCGAGCGTGTCGTTCAGCGGCAAAGCTGTAAGGATTATAGGGATCGAAGTTCGCTGTCGCTGGCTGGGATATGTTTGAAACGGTGACGGTCGCAGCGGACAGAAGTTGCTCAAGTGCTGAGGGAGGTAGAATGATCTTATCACCTCGCAGAGGGGGAGTTGCCTCTGGAGGTAAGACGTCGAATTGAGTTGACCACTTCAATGGTGGCCGATCTGGCGTTGAGCTCATGGTGGATGATTGAGGAGGGAGTCAAGCACGCGACCAGGTTGATGCCGCATTGTGTAGGCAGCCGGAGTGTCCAACGTATTCCCTCGAAAGTGTCATTCTAGAAGCATCGACGGGTATGTCATCAGGCAAAACATGTCGCCGACGTGATGATCTAAGAAACTTAGGGCTAGGGCTGACTATGAATTCTCATTTTGCCTCTAGATATCTTCATTGTCGCTTATGCCGTTGCCTTACTTCAAAATGCTGACTAGCTTACAACATGTTAAGCCCCCAAAGCCAAATAAACACAGGGCTCTTCCCAATGGTATGTTTTCTTCACCTCTTCTTCAATGTTGGGAGCCTAAAACCTGATTTCACGTAGCATAAAGATTTGTAAAGTTCGTTGCTTTCACGAGTCTACGAGAATCAATCTAAAGAAGTCTTTAGGTTGCAGTGACCTCATTGGACGAAGTATTGAGGCCCCAGCCTCTTTGGGCGATGAATCCATAAGATTGTATCATTGACGGGTCGCAGCCTGGACAAATCATCAATCCAAACCTTCACTTCATCTCATTGAAAACACCAGGCTCTCCGGGTCAAGAACCCCTTTTACTTGCTGTCCAGATGCCTGTAGTGAGCCTGCAATATAATGCTTCCTTCACTTGGGCTGGTACTTTATATGTGAGGCTATCCCCTGGTGTAGATACGAGCCTTTTCCCCAAGGTCCGCTTGTCCGCCTGCTTCAGGTGCGCCGCAATTTCAGGGCACTATGCACTAGAAGGACGTGTGCCACGGTCGTTAGGAATGGTTATAGTCGTTCGAATCGTATCGTGAGCGACATTCATAGCCACTTATGCCGATTCCGCTGGCACATCGACATAAGTAATCCAGATTTGAATGGGCCTGTGAGTTATTCGTATGAGACTTTCTAGGGAATTCTCGCGGGATTTCCTGATGTCCGGTAGATCATTCCTTCTCGAATTCCGTGACAACAATCTTGCCCTTCGGATCCACTGCGAACAAAAATGAGCCAGATGGGTCAAAGCGTAGGCAATCAGTCAAGGGTCTGTCCTGCTTGCAGAGAGAATGCGCCAAGATTTCAGCATCCCCATCCGGGCTATGAATGCCACCGTCGTCATGTCTGTTGAGCCGGAGGACAGATAGTCTGCCTGAGTCCTCCAGGACCGCGAAGATGTGGTGTTGACTTGATGGACGGCCTGCAAACAAAGGGCGATGGCTTTTTAACTGCTCGAAAGTGTGGACTCTGCTGTCGAGATGTATATGTGGTCGGGACGTATTCGGAGGAATGAGCAGGATAAACGACCATTCACCTTCATGGTGCCAGCGTTCTGTTGATGGTGCCGTCGTGCATAGGACGTAAAGTCGTTTCGACGGTGACTGATAGACCGTAGCGGAAGTTACCCCCGTTTCCCTCGTCTCCTGTGAATCTGATGTCAGCATCTATCTGCAGGCGAGGATGGACTTTGAGCGCTTACCGCTGTGTATTTGTTTTTCAGGAACTCAAATGGCTCTACTGATGAAAAGAACTCATTATCCAACTTCCATATAGAGAGCTTGTTCTGGATCCTCGTGATACAAGTAAGGATCTGCGATTCTGTATCGAAGGTGATTCTCTTGGGGCAGTCGTTCGCTGGCATGTTCAGAGCAAAGACGGGCATATTTGTAGCTTGACCGTCTATTCTGTACCTGGAGACTCTAATCTGGCCGTCGTACTTCTGGGTCTTGTTTCTCTGACATTGACCAAGAAAAACCACCAGATGAGTCTTGCTCTCGTGACACGCAAGTCCGCTGGGGTCCCAGTCCCCATGCGAAGCAGTACCAATCAGTGTATCTGCGTCAAATTTGAAAACAAGTAGGCGTTTATTGGTAACTATGACAATGAATGCCCGGGATGGGGCGACATTTCGAATGAACTCCCCGTGCTTGTATTGCTGGTTGAAGATCCTGGGGAAGCTTGGCGACGTGTCCTTAGTTCGTATATCTCCTAACCGATAGACCGAAACTTCGCTATCGTTGTAAAAGAGCGCGTGGCTGCAGTCGTCTGATAGGCCGGCGGAGTGGTAAGAGCTGCTAAATTTGCGAACGGAACGCAGCGAATAAATTGTAGAATTTTTAGTCATTGATCTGGTCAGAGCACTTTCGTGGCATAACGTGCGGGACGCATTGACTTCTCCAACGGGAGATTCTCCGGGAGTCAGGCTTGATGATATCGTTGTGATCCCAAAATCACCACTCAAGCCACCACCACGAGCAACGGGTTTTCGGGAGACATGTGTAAGGGGTCGCGATACGCGGAGTCTCAAGCTCTCTTCTTCGTCACTTTCCAAATGAGCTCGAATTAACCGCATTTCTTCGAGGATTTTTGACTTGGTCTCAACAGTACTTCGTGTTTCAATCTCTCTTTTCAACATCTGATACTGGTCCCAGCGAGTACTGTGACAGGAAAAAGATATCTCTATCTGTGAACAGTATCAGCAGCCATCCACTGGTGTTGTTCTAGTCACGATGGACTATTATGGGGATGGATACTGACAGCTTTCCATCGGAACTCCGGTACAACGCTGTCGAAGATCAGACCATTCACTCGGTTCAGCAACCCTTTCCCCAACATTTGTGGATCCGAAACAGCGGCAATTTGGGAAACGCAATCCAATAGTCCGTAATAGTAATACCCCCGATCCAGATCTGGGGGTCCACGGGAAATCACTGCAAGCGCCTTGTGCCATCGTCTTGCTAATTCTTGTGGGAATTGTCCGTGCTCCACGGCCAGGATCTCATCCACTTTGTCGACTAAGGCTGATACAATAGCGGTGGCAGCTGTCCGCAGTTCACCTGATTCGTCGGCGATAGCAGATTCTTGGCAAAGACTGGTCGCTAGCCGGGTATACTCCTGTAAACCACAAAGTGCTTGGTACTTGGTCCGCGGCTTCTGCCATATGTCAACGAATTGGTTCAGACCGCCGATGATTTCTCTTATGTGGTTGTATTGACCTCCACCCTAGAGCTTGAGGTAAGTCATTGTTGTATATAAAGGAGTTACGTTCCTACCAGTGATAAGGCTGAAAAGAAGATGTCCACGGTCGGCCCGAATATTGAGGGCCAAGGGGAGTCGCCTCGATTGATGAACGAGACGTATTGTGAAGCAAGCTGTATAAGATAGGGATTTGGGGCATAACGGATCGAATCTGCCAATGTCGAGCTGCGCTGTAGCTGGAACGCGATCTTCTGAAACCGTGCGGAGATGTTTTTGAGCCTAAGCTTATCGTAAAGCTCTGGATCCAAGGTATGAACTCCATTGTGTTGGAGTAGGGCAAGGGAAGAGATCAGAGCTCGGAGTTGGACTTCTTGGAACATAGATGTGCCCGGGTAACCGCACTGGCTCAGAGACCCAGATAGAAACATCGATAACCCCACCACGGACTCTACCTCTGATGTCGAGTCTTGCGCGGGATCCAAGGCTCCATCGGTAGCGTGTCGCAGGCATTCATGGTCGAGCTCTAGCAGTAAATCGTAAAGCCGCCGTATCGTCGTGCTGGTGGGCAGACTGAACGATGCCAACGTTTCACGTAGGGATGGATGTGATGACACAGCTTCAGCAGTGGAGCTGCCTTCGCTACCAAGCAGCGGTCGGAGTCCACCAGGAACCTGGGCCAACATAGCTTGAGTGGAGGTTGACATGGCGTGGCGCCGGGGATGATGTCAAAGAGAAAGAGCACGGCAGTCTCGTACAGTGGTTGTTTCATTGATTAGCAACGTCGTCGTCATCGGGTCGTAGTGGTGAGGCTGCCAGAGCACAAGCCCCACTAGATTACGCAGCGGAGGTTAATCCTTGCAGTAGCCTTATGCAGCCTGATAAGGAATCAGGATCCTGTAATAATGACATGTTGATGGTGATTGGTGGTAGAGGCAAGGCTGTAGGTCTTAGACAAGGCTGAAGATGCACGAGCTTCCTTGGCGCGCAATGCCGTGCAAAGACTCCCACAGGAGCAAGCAGATACTGTAAGCAGGCCGATCCTCGGCGCACCACCTTAAGAATCATTGCACCGCCCACCCTCTTCATTTGAAAGACCAGGCAGTCCTTTCCTTGGCCCTCTTGCAAGATTGATCACTTTCATCTGAATCTTAGCTAAGGGCTTACCGCCTACGATGGCACCAGGTAGTATCGAGATTCGTCACGAAGAGCTCAGCATAGAGCAGGGCGAGCATCACCAGAGTGCACCAGTGAGCAAAAGCTCGGACGATCTGCTTGGCAGGCTCAGTCACGAAGTCTTCAAGTACGATTGCTTGGACCGTAGACTAAAACGACACCATGTCACCGGTAAATGTCCACTAGATTGCTTATCAGACTGCTGACTCACAATGGGCAGGAATCGCATTCTCGGGTGCTGTTGGTGTTGGCCTATTCCAAACTTCGGGACAGATCATCGCGTTATCTGGTCCTGTCGGTGCTTTACTAGCGTACCTATTCGCAGGTCTGACGATTTTCGCGGTTATGCGATCGCTCGCGGAGATGGCTAGTATCAGACCGGTTTCTGGAGCAATCATGGACTATCCGGACGTCTTTGTTGACGAGGCTCTGGGGTTCGCAGTGGGTGTGACGTACTGGTGATTTGAGCCCCAGCCTTGGCATGTCTCTCCTAGTCCTTGCTTACCGGAGAGAACAGGCTGGCCAACTGCATGAGCTTGGTGACTCTGACCATAGCGGCGGCAATGTTCACACAGTACTGGGGCCCAGGATTCGGCATTGCTCCAGCCACATTCGTGTTGCTCCTAATTATCATCTTGATGAACGCGTGTGGTGTGCGGGTAAGAAAATTTCGCTTAACGATGGGGAAAGAAGTATGCTTAGCAATGTCAGATCTATGGAAACTTAGAATGGACTTTCAAATGGATCAAGATCCTGCTGATTCTTCTCGTCTGTTTCTCCATGATTGCGATCAAAGCTGGGGGTGGGTAGCCTTGAATGAGCATAGAAGAAGACTTGCTTACCTTCACAGCTGGTCCAAAGCCAATCCATAGTAGTGAGCTGGCGCGAGATTCACGGCAAAATTCCCTCTGACGAATGATAGATTTTGAAATAAGCCCAGGCTATAACTCCACCGGCTTCTTCGAAGGCGGTGCTACGATTGCCATACCTGGCACTGGAGGTCAAATCATGGCTGTTTGGTGGGTGCATGTCGTACAATCTGAGTTCACCATCCGCTGATAGCGCCAGGACATGCCTAACCATCGCAATGTTCCAATTTATGGGTGGTGAGATAGTATTAGTAACAGCAGCAGAGGCGGAGTCCCCACGCCGGGACTTGCCCACAGCAGCACGATACATGTATCTCTTACCTGTGAGCTTGTACCTCGTTGTGATCTTCTTTGTGGGACTTTGCGTCAATTACTTGGATCCCAGACTCCCGCATCCGCATGTGGAGTACTACTCACCAGGATCTCGTCTTGATGGCATCACCACCGGTACCAGAAGTCCCTTCGTCATAGTGATTCAGAATGCTGGAATCTCAGGACTTCCAGGCTTTCTCAATGCAGCCTTCCTGTTCTCGGCACTCACTGCTGCGTAAGTTGTTTCTGAAGTGCCCTTTGATAGGCATAAGCTGACCCGGTCTTAGTAACTCTGCCCTTTATGTTTCAAGTCGGACAGTCTTCTTTCTTGCACGAAAGAGCTCATTCAAGTTCATCAAGGAGACCGTGGGGCGGACTAACAATGGCCATACACCACTCGCGGCGATTGTAATCAGTTTCGTGCCTGGAGTGTTGGCATTCCTCGCGATTGGGGCGGCCAAAACGGATGTCCAAGAGGTTTGAACCCGGTATTGGTCGCGTAGAGTCCTGACTAATATCAATGATTCGGACAGCCAATTTTCGTTTTGTACCGCCTTTACTCGGGACCTGTCCTCTGTATCTACGCCAGCGAGTGTCTGGCTTTTCTTCGATTTCGACAAGGGTGATGGTGCCTCCACCTTTCGCGTCGAACAGTATTAACAACTCATAGCATGAAGTTGTTCCCAAACACAATCGATCGGAATAAATCGTATTACAAGGACAAACACTATAGAGCGCACTGGCAGCCAATGTGGGCAGTGATCGGATTGGTCTTATGTACGACTCTCATGCTTTCTTTTGGATGGACTGCAATATACGACCTCTGCGCCAAGACCGAGGGAGTCACTAAGGAGGATTCGATTGTGGACTTGGCCACAGCCTATTTCGGAGTTGAGATCCCTCACCTCCAAATCACCGTCGAAATATGCTGACTTATTAACAAGCCGGGATTGTTCTTCAGCGTATACTTAGGCTACAAGTACACATACAAGACGAAGATCAGGCCGTTTTCCTCCTTCGAGAACCTTTGGTATCCTATCGATGTTCCTGACGAACCGGATACCCGCCAGCGTTTGAGAACAACGTCTAGAAAGAGGAAACTGGTTCTTGATTTCTTGAGCTGGCTTCGGTGACCGTAGCCCACCCGGAAAAGGTAGGCTAGTTGTGTGAAGGTATGGTAGTCTTGGATGTTGGCTTCATCTAAATTGAACATAGAGTAAGGTCGGGTCTCAAGCGGAAAGAATTGGCAATCGATGTGCGAAAGCAGCTCAACTGCGTTGGTATTGTCGCAATCCAAGGGAATATTGGAGACGTCGATAACATTAGCTTTCGCACCGTAACTACAGTGAAATGGCATGAGCCTCTCATAGCAATAATTTGTTCCACTTTCACCCTTGTTTTCGGACTTTTTTCCCATGCGAATGTTTCTCCACGCTTGACTCGGTACAATATCACATCTTCCTACAGAGCGACACAGCTGGAAGGAACCCTCAACGACCATGATTTCGTCGTCACTCTCCTAAAAATGAGGCACGCGTCTACTCTTCGTCACCACGAGAGCCGGCCCCGACCTACATGTTTCAGGTGCATTGAACATTTGCTGTGCCACAGTATTTACAGATACAGAGGGTTGCAGCCCAAGAAAGATTGTCAGTGTAAGCTTAGAGATCCACAAGAGCGCCCCGGTTGTTGGGTCATATTATTTTGAAACGGCCGTCCGCTACCGGTCTTGAAGCGGTCGGAGACGATATTTTGAAAAACAAGCATGACTGCGGGCGCATTGGAAGGGCCTATCTTCTCATCCAAACCGGAAATCGTGAAACAGCCCCGTCACAGGTGCTTCTTTCCCAGTCGCTCGGAAGCCCAGTCTGGACCAGGACAATGGCTGGAGGCCACAATTGAGCTCGAGGGTCTGGACCTACGAGGCTGATGCAGAATCAAAGCAATCAAGCTTGCGCGAGGTGGAGGTGGGGGATGCAAGCACCAATTTGTTATACGTCGACCAGGCCATCATTTGATCAAGAAGGCTTTGGTGCTTCTAGCAGATATTTGGAGTCCTTTCAAAGGTCTGGTAGCGGTGGTGGTAATGCGCGATGATTCGTATGAAAACCCTAGAGATAGTTTGCATCTTGTGGTTATCGAGCAAGGATCCATTACCGCACAATTTCATCAAGCCCACGACTACCTGTCTAAGCGTCTCCCCACACATATGGTACAGACAGTCTGGCTGCGTGTGGAGGGCATTCCGACTTTGGCTTCAGCTAAGGCTGACAGGACGGCAGTGGCCGAGTGGATCGCGAACTTGAAAGGCGAGGTCTCAGCCCATAACGCTCTTCGTTCAAAGTGTGTAGAGTCTGATTAGACTATACATCCAACGGAATCCAAGGTCCAAGGGATAAAAGCCCGAGTATTGGATCTCAGTCTGGATCAAATCCCGCTAAACCAATCGTTCTCTTCTATTGGTGGATTTCCTATTGGTGCAATGGAAGGACAGATATTGCTCCTCCTAGTGTACATGATTTGGTTGTAGACTTGGTGTCTTGGCGCGTAATTCTCCATGATTTCGAATTATCACTGCGCGATCGACAGCTCTTAGGCAAGAGCCCTTTTCCGTTTTGGAAGTGGGGCGAGCTACAAGCGGAGAAGTGCCATGAACTAATACCGCCAGCTGTCCTTCCGGATGATATCCCTCCGGCTAACATGGATTACTGGGAGCTTCGCGGCCAATCGGATGACTTGGGAGATGCGCTCGAGTAGCATTTCAAGCTGAATTCTCAACAACCAGTGTTGCTCCTCCGACATTGTGTCCAAGTCCTGCATGCCGAGCTTGTGAATGTATTCCTCGCCTCCGCTCTACAATCGTTTGGTCAAATTTTCCCGGATCGAGCTCCACCAACCCTCTATTGCGAGAAACACGGCCGTGACGCGTGGGAGGAAGAAGTCGACCTGTCAGGGACCGTGGGATGCTTCAACACATTGGTACCACTTAGTCTAGGAATGCAACATCTGAAAACCTTTGAAAAGACAGTGCATAGGATACGCACCACCAGAGAGAAGATCGCGGGGCAAGGGGAATCCTATTTCGCCTATCTCTGCTTGGATTCTGACGGCAGAGAGGCATGTAGAGAGTACTCGAATATGGAGATATCCTTGAATCACACCGGGTATCGACATCTGGAAGATGGGAGCGCTCTGCTACGACATGAGACCTTGAGTGGCCAGGGCAGTGAGGATATCGGGACTGACACGAGGCGATTGGCTTTGCTGAATATTTTGGTGGATTTTAGTGGCGGGTGCTTAAAGTACACTTTTCTCTAGAATCGTCGTATGAAACAACAAGAGAAGATTCGGCGCTGGGTGGAGGAGTGCTGGCGGTGTTTGAAGACATTAGTGGGCGATATGTGCGCGGTGCTTTGTAGATCAATAGGTAGTGTTGCCATGGTTCAAAGGGTGATGCATCTGGCGGAATGTTTGCTTGAAATTGCTTCAAGATGTTAATCGATAGGCCGAATTGTCCGTGAATGGACTTGATGAAATTTTTTAAAGCGTCAATCCTGGTGAATTGTCAACATCGACTGTCAGCTTTTGCAGCCGCTACAGAAACCGTTCATTGGGTCAGTGACCATGTCACTTATAATTTCACCACGTCGAAGCTTGCTAAATTGGGACAATATAATTTTGCTCAACAGCAGTGCCTCGCTTAGACGAGAGCTGCTCAGAGGCGCATCCGAAGTTATGGTGGTATGGTGGTACTGCAAAATTCCTTTTCTTGAGGCCGGAAGGATTTGCCGATGCGCGCTATGCCTGTTGAACCGACGTCCCTAATGCCGTGAGCACACTCCCTCTGATCCAAACTCCTCGCTTTCTATCACGAAAAATCGGTCTCCTCCTTATGGACTTGCCGCCCCTCCCTCGCCCACCAGTCTCGCCATCAGCACATAGCCTATCACCACGATTCCCACCACCATGAGCTTATTTCTCCTTACCCAGCTTTGACCCGCCTCTCTCGCTGCCCTTCCCGCATCTCCCAGGCCAGTCGTGCCCCCAGGCCCTCTTTTTAATGCCGCCACTTCAGGCGAGCACGCTACACTGGTTGTGTTATTTTCACCCTCGGGATTGGCCAGGATCTTCCCTGTCGCAGCATCGATCCTGTGCTCTTTCATCCAATTCCAGTTCTCCTCATCCAGCTCGGGCCATTCAGCCCTAAACTTGACACCTCCGTCTCCCGCTTTGACTGCTCCCACCCCTTTGACTGTTGCAGTGTTGCCCTTGACGGGTGTTTTCACACTCCCCCCGCCAGTGCTGTTCCACCACCTACTCCTCGCAGCAAGCCATTTTCTCTCTGCATCACTAGCCCCCAGACTACCTGTCGTCATCTCATCGCTTGTCATAAAAGACATCAAGCCTATTAGTATCGTCGAGACTTCCCAGGCGGGGTTGAAAGACTTTGGGTGGAAGTCGGAAATCGAAAGGCAGAGGCGAGTTGAAGGCTGGAAGCGGCCGGAGGGCGTGTGCATACGGATCGACGGTGGAGCAAAGGGATAGGTGGGTGGGAAGAGGAGGGTGCCCCAGTATTGGCCGTTCACGTAGGGAGTATTTGGGGGACCGGTAAGGATGTAGTGCCATTCTAGGATATTGTTTTCGGAAGGGTGGGCGACTATATATGGAGGGGGGTTGGCTTGGATGGTGGCATACTCGCGAGTGAGCTTGACGTAGATCAGTATGGTGCTCTAAGAGGTTTGGAGAATGGGGTGCGAACCCGCTTGTTGGCTGCTCGGGTTGCCATTGCTGGGGAGTCGGGTCGCCGCGTGAGAGGAAACGTTGACTTATCGTAGATAACAGGAGCTGTTTATGGTGGTAACCGTGAGATGTCTCTGGAATTGTGTAAATTAGATGCCGTGAGTTGATTTGGAAGAGTATGATGAATGAATCGAGAAGTTGCCAGCATTGAAATGATTAACGCGGGATGTCGGCATTTACAAGCGCCGATGTTAGCGCGACGCGGAGAGCTCCATCGTGTTTTGAACTTTTGGAGAGCTCCAAGTTTACTCCTTGTGCTCCAATGGCAGACCCATTGGACTCCGGAGATGATGTGAGTGTCACCATCAAGCTCGTCGCTAACACACGCTTAGCTACTAATCTTCTGTCTGATTCAGATCTTCGATAGGCTCAAGAAAGGGGTGGATCCAAAACTGCAGGAGGAGAAGACGAGACTGGCAAATGAGAGGGAGTTAGCACAAGTCGAGAAAGCTCAGCGGCGGCTGGGAGAGCTGGTGATACTCTTCCATTCCTTCTGCCTTATTCTCAAAAGCGCAAACCGCACCTTGGTAGATTTCAGTGCTAATATATCGCCCAGATTCAAGACAATTCCACGCTACCCACTACCATATCCTCAATACGCATTCTCAATGCAACGAACACACGGAAAGGATTCCTTGACCGCATCTTCAATCCAATTATTAGTGCCAACCAAGATCGCCCTTACACACTAGCTGAAGCTATCCGAGAAGTCTCGATTGGGGCGGACAAGCTTCACAAACTCGGTATCCTCCACCAGCTTCGATCAAGTTCCACAGCTTATATTTCTGGCAGATGTCTTTCATGAACCTATCTCCCTCTTCATCGACCGACCTTCTCACACCGAACCGTCGATGACACCTACAGACATTGACATATACCTCTCCGTTGTAGAGAAATCACGATTCAAGTTCAAAACAGGTACCGATATTGGGAATGCAGAAGGATCTGCCTACGTCCATGGCCTTGCACGCAACATATTTGGTGGTGCAGAAAGCCTGAACGTCAACGCTTCGTTCGGAACACGGACACGATCAGCATACCAAGCCAGCTTTGAAACCCCAATACTAAGTAATCCCGACCTTCGATGGGAATTTGGCGGGCTTGCTAGCTCGACTCAAAAGCCATGGTCAAGCCACGAAGAAGTTCTTAAAGGCGGTTGGACGAAGCTCAGATGGATGGCTCCGGGTGGAGGAATGCATGAGTTGGGCTACAATGGGGTTTGGAGACAAATCACAGGTCTAGCCAGCAATGCATCGCCTACTGTTCGACGTGATGCAGGAGATAGTGTCAAGAGTAGTTTGACGCACACATGGGTGAAGGATCGACGAGACAACCCACAGCTTCCCACGAGAGGATACCTTAATAAATCAACTCTGGAGCTGGCGGGATGGGGCCCACTTCAAGGTGATGTTGCCTTTGGAAAGGCAGAGGTTGAAGCGCAAGGTGCTATACCTGTCCCTATACCCGGGATTCAAGGCGAAAGTGGAGTGTCCCTGACTACCGGCTTACGAGCTGGACTTCTTTTCCCACTACCTTTGGGTACCGAGGCTGAGTCAAAGCCATCTCGCATCAATGATCGATTCCAGCTAGGAGGACCAACAGACGTCAGAGGTTTTAGACTGTCTGGTCTAGGTCCCCGAGACGGCATTGATTCTCTGGGTGGGGACGTCTATGCCGCTGGGAGTGCGAATCTACTCTTCCCAATACCGCGCGTGGGCAAAGACAAACCGTTCCGTTTCCAACTTTTTGCCAACGGTGGACGACTGCTTGCACTGAAGGAATCCGAGATTGAGGGTACAGACGGCGAGAAAGTGAAGCAGACCTTAGCACCCACTATCGCTGAGCTGGGCAATGGTTTACCTAGTATGGCTGCTGGATTCGGTTTGGTGTATGCACATCCTGTTGCAAGATTCGAGCTCAACTTTTCGCTACCTCTTGTGCTTAGGAGAGGCGAAGACGGCAGAAAGGGACTGCAGTTCGGTATTGGAATCAACATGCTATAATCGAATTGTACATATGATAATAGCATATCTCATAATTTTCATGCTACCTGGGTTTTCAACCCATCGTTGCTGGCTTCAAAAACATCTCCAGCGACACCTGCTTGGAGTACTATTTGATTACCTTAGGCTCACCAGTGATTTACGGTCTTAATTGGTCAACGGAAAGGTACAACATACCTTGTTATCGCCAGCTTTCTGCACCTAAAGTAGACTTTAGCGAAGAAGCTTGCCTCAGTGCCTCAGTCCCCTGCCTAGCTCGCTAAGCTCCCTCAGGTTAGCTTCCGCTTTCTAAGTCCCTTCGGGCTAGGACCTTCTGCTTAGCCCGGACCAGGTAGCTCTAGAAGCGGAACTGAGAGGCTGACTGAGACTGCCTCTGATTGGTGATGACAGCTGGCTTCGCCCAACATGGTCTAGTGTCGATCGTCGGAAGTGCTCCTGCTAGACTCTGCCCAACTTGCCCCGCGCTCCTCGTTTCACACATCACGTCGACTTGATATCTTTCTCGTTTGAATCAAACCCCATTCCGTGTGACAAGTGAATAGTGGAAGTGATTAAAAGGAAGTGAATAATTGCGCATGGTGAAACTTCGCACCGGGTGAATAAGAACAGATGTTGATTAATCGAAAACGCTGAATGAGCGCACACAGTGAGGCAGGATGTAGCTGGAAATTTCCAGACCACCATATTTAAGGAGTCTCCACCATCAGACGAACGATCTCCGCAACATACAGTCTACCGGTACTCCCTAAGCAGAAGTCTGCACGTCGCTGCATCCAAGGAGAGCGGCTTCCCCGCTCGAAAGACGCTTTACATCTATCAGTACCGGCGGACCAGAAAGTTCCAGACACCTGCATAAAAGACATCCTCTAACCAGATAGACAATAATCTCAGCATACAATCTATCCGCAATCTCTAAATAGAAGTCCTCAGGTCGCTGCATCAAAGGAGGGTAGCTCCCCTCACTCGACAGACATTATTCACCATCACTCCCAACCCGGAACTTTTCAGATCACGGCTTACAAGCAATCCACAGCTCGGCAAACAGTAACTATTTGCTACCAGCACTTCCAAAACATTCCGGACTAACCTTAAGTGGCCGGTCGATACCACAGTCGTTTTTGCCTCCGGATCTTCTAGATCTTTTGCCAAAGTCGAGTTGATTCAGAGTCTCGCAGAGCGAGTTACACATATCTGTATCATCAACTGAGACCATTGGTTGCGCCACAGGTGCGTGAGCTGTTCGAAAAACATGCCGCAAGTTGCTAAAGCGTGCATGATGCCAAACATCACATCCCGGAGTGGAGCTCTAGAACCTGTTGGACCCTCTGTATTCGCGAGGGTTCAGGAGAGTAAAGGAGCAAGTGGCCCAATCCACGAGATCGAGATACTAGCAAAGTCCCTAGGTTGCTTCTGACCGCTCTCTTTGTGATGTCGATACTGATACATGCTAGGAGCTCCTAATATAAGTACTTCTGGTGACGGAGATCCAGAGCTGAGGAGTGCTTGCACTCTATTAATTGCCTTGGAGACGGAGAAGGACTCTAGTCGTATGATCATAGATGCAAAGATCGAGACGCTATACCCGCTATACCAACATTCAGGAGACCATGTTCTTGATATTCGAATGCTCGCTACTCTTCTCGGATATGTCCAGAAGTATTGTATGGGCCGTGATATCAAGCATCTCAGCATCATCACTATGCTGGAGCATCCAGCCTGGCTTACAACTTTCTTTACTTTGGCTGGCTTTAGTCCCTGCGAATGTCTGAAGTCTGATGATTTGGAAAAGGGACGGAGGGTTTGCCTCAAGCTTGATAAGTCTATTCAAGAGCCGGCAAAGGCTGTTGAGGGTGCCTCCAAGCCCAATACCAACGGCACCAAACAGAATCATACATCTGCGCCAAAGCCAGCAAATAAGCTACCAAGTCTAACAATCAAAGGTACCGCCCCTGCGAAGGATCTGGACGAAGATGAAGCCGCGAAGTGGCTTTCTCAAAATCAGCAAATCCTGAGTCCTGCTAGTGCTTTAGCACATCCGGTTCTACCAAAACCCGGGGTGGTGCAGACTCCTACCAAATCAGTTAAACAAAGCCCAAAGATTGGTAGTGGCGTAGCCAGTGAGCTTCCTCATACAGGAGAAAAACGAAAGCGTTCAGAGACGTTCCCGCGAGACCATGTTGCTGAGGCTGCTGATCGGAGTGTCCGCCCTCGCGAGGAGAACGGAATGCGCGAGCCTACTAAGCAAGAGATGCGAGAAGAAGAGGAGCGGTTAAATCTGAGATTACAGAAGCAGCGCGAAGCACTACAGCGTGCTACTGATAAAGCTTCGGGTAAGATGGCCGGTAGTATGCCTCCTGCCTCAAAGCTTAACCCGCAGATCGAGGATCGATCACGAAAGTCTGGTGACATGACGGACGCTCTACTGGCCCAGTATTCCAAACAATCACCTGCCACATCCTCAGTAAGCGTGAAAAAGGAAGCACCAAAGCAGGCTAGCCCACCTAATCCACATCTCACTCCTGCTGTTAGAGGTGGCTCTCCTGATCCGAGTTTTTGGCGATCAAACACGCTGCCCGCCAAGAGTCTCACGTGCTTCTACTGGGCTACCCAAGGATATTGTCTGAAAGACGAGCGCGATTGTCTTCACGCACATCATCATACGGGCGAAGTGGCCAGACCACCCCCAAGTTACAAGTACAAGGCTTACAAGAATGGGTTTTACGCTCCGCCCATGGGTTTAGATGGCGCAGACGATGAGTATGACCCTCATCACCCCGGGCAGGGTTACAAGGGCAAGCATGGGCGACCTCCTGGGGACGTGGAGCATGGTCAAGATCAGGGTATGTCTATTAGAGGGTTGGACAACGGGACGAAGATTGTGAAGGAAGAGAAGGGTGCGCCTACACAACCTAAGGTCTACCAGGATATGAAGTTGCGACCTGGAGACAACCCTTATGATAGCTACCGACCTCGACACTAACCTCTCGGCAACAAACATACTTGTGGATTGAGGGAGCCTGGATCTCTTTCGAATGGCGTTCGAGACATTTCGGAATTCAAAAGGTGCAGTGCGTGCTAATAGTGGAAGAGAGAACTATTGCCATCCTAAATTGCGAAAAGATATCCCCACATGCTTGGGAGGCCACTACCACGGCAATTTAGACATCACAGGACAGACACTTCTATTACAGGTGTGAAGACTCGCTCTGAGCAAAGCGTGCATACTTTTTACGGCAGACATAGACGGTCACACATAGTATGCAAAATTCGACTTTGACGACGCCCTTTCTCCAGCTGAGTGAAAACTGATGTCCTTAACCACGTGACACTCAACCGATCTGGCTGCTACAGAACCGCAACAGTAGGACAGATCTCATGCATTGTGTCTCCAAACCAGAGGTCGAATTTAAGCCGCTATCGCCTCTTGCAAACCCAACAACAGCTCGCAGCATCACGGTAACCCAGCCCTTCCTTGCCCAGCGCTTATCCCTCCCCCCTGCCAAACAACAACCACAGCTCTTGTCAAAATCCGCTCAAGATTCTCCTCCCCACTGTCAACGTCACCCGTGACACTAATCTCCGCAATCTCACCTCCAGTCTCAGCCCAGTCCGGCGTGCTGCTGGATAAAAGTCCCGGTTGTTGCGGTACGGGTCCGCCCCAAAAACACCGAAATTTACGACGAAGAGGAATAATTCCCCGTTGACTTCAAAGCCCGTCTGAACTGAAATTATCTAATAATGGCAGCGACTTCTTTCGACTCGATACTCATAATCTGTGTCCCAACAGCGATTTGAGACTGCTACGTTGTCTGCAGTCAGGTGAGGTATGGAGAGCCTGGCGAAAGCTCATTAAGCAATGTTGATCTATGCACCAAAAATATGGATTCAATATGTTCTGCATTCTCGACGCGAAACTATCTTCTAGAAACACCCTAAATGCCGTGCCCTGGATGACTTGAGGTCCGGGAGCTGTCACGGAGAGGATGCTCGTCTCAACGGACTGGTCTTTCGAAAAAGATGTGTCCAGGTTGGGGTTCCATTTGGGCATTGGCCACCCGGACGGATCTTTGAGACCTCCGAGCTCGAAGACTCGAGGGAAGGTTAGCAGGGCTCCAATTGCATGATCGTAAATTACTTGCCCTTTGAGATAGGCGGGAGGAATGTAGTGGTGGTGCACATCAATGCGCTTTGCCATTGTGGACGGCGACGCTTCAAGGTCAAGGACGCAGTAGCGAATCAGCTAATGCGAGAGGGTAAAGGGAGTCTTGTTGTTTCTATGCGTAGCAGCTGCCGTGTCTGCTGTATTTATATTCTGGTCACTCCCCTCGATTTGTTTACAGTGATCCCGAAGGATGCCGGGCGGCTGCGGGGATTCATGCAGGTAACGTGGCATCCGGCTAACTGTGGCAGGTCCTGAGACGATACAGGCCAAGACGGAAAACGAAAGGCGAATGCAAATGGCTGATCAAGCCACGGGTTGAGCATAGAAGGCAGAGGAGCCGGGCTCTCCGAAGATGCATGGAACAAGGGCAGGAGAAGACGACAGCATCTCGCTAAACAGACTATGTTTGCGACACCCTTTCTGTCGAGAAAGAAGCTCTGGGAAGGCATCAGTAACATTGATATGCAAAGGCGGTCGTGACCTAATGAGTGATTGCTGGCACCTAGCCACTGCTGACCCAACACTGCACCAGGCCAGGTACTATGGAAGGTCCAAGCCTAAGGAAGAATAATTATAGAAAGGCTAGTGTGAAGTATACATTAAGAGATGAGCGGGTTGCAGATACCGCTGGTGATCTGAAGGTCACAGCAAGTGCGAGAGGGAACTCTTACTACTCGGTTCTCTCCTCGGTTGTGGAACGTGTATAGAGCCTTGATGGATAGAAAAAAGAAGGAATTCATGACACAGTACTGTGCCATCCACGCAAGTCCGCACTGCACTCATATATTCGAGTTTCTGGGCTTGAGGTCCAGATTGGACTTGAGTTCTGAGAAAGCGTAACCTTATCATCTTGGAGCTGTCACCTCTGTGATTGCTTGAGCTTAGAATCTCGGTGCGAAACCCCTGTTCGATTCCGTCTTTGAATTCGTGGTCCTTTGCCACTTTGCGTTGCGCTGAGCCCTTACGCCCCGAAGGCACCTCGCTTTTGGAAATCTACTCAAGGTGCGGGAGGAGAGCTGATAGTCTGGCATCCCGGACGCTCTTTTGTTGGAAATGCTTAACCCAGAGGTCATCATCAGGAGAGTGTGATTGGACTTCAATGGCAGACGATGCCTGAGCTTTGGACCTCAAAGGTCCCAAGTCGATTTATAGCCAAGTCATTCTTGCAAGCTAGCTCACAGGTATGTCTCCATTCATCTTCTTCAAAACCCATCTGATGATGTCCTCAGGTAGCGAAATACACAACATAACGGCCAAATTGATCGAGCGGTGTAGTTGAAAACCTCAATGGGTATGCAACATGAATCGCTGCCATTCACCGGCTCAAGCACCTGAAACTTAGAGATGCAAGTGCGACTAGAGTCTTGGGCTGCAACGGGACGGAATGAGGACGTATAATGGAGATATTGTGTGTTTTGAAGTTCGTGAAGAAGACAAAATCGAGTGAAGGTCTACTGTCCCTCGGCCCAAACCCAACGTATGAGGCAGGTACGATCCCGACTCTCAACATATATGCCAAGTGTTTATTTCTCAGATTTTAAAAACTTTTCAAGGCATGATCCGCAGCCTCGTGTTGGCTCTTTTTCCAGGTGCAAAGGTTGTGGAAAAGAAAACCTCCAGACAATAGAGTACCTTGAAACTCCCTAGCTCAAGTCCTTCGACGATCAATCTTCTTGTAAAGCCAATCCAATTTGTCCTCCGACATGAAACCGCCTCAACTTTGACTTCTCGATTCCACTTTCATCAAGTATGAGCTCCGATTCTCTGATAATAGCCAAGAGGGTTTCGTGCTGGGGTTCCATGGGACGAAAGCGCGATCACCGAATCCTGCATATACGACTTCCCTTGGTCAACGCCGAGGACTATTTTTATTCCCATCAATGCCGTGAATTCTCTTTATAAGACGCGTCAACCCTCCTCAGACCCTCAATAACACATACCGGTGTCAGCAAGGCAGACAACCATTGGCATCTGGCATGGCTTACTCGATAGGCGATCGCATCAACAAGGTAGCCCCACATCATGACTCTATCGAGGCATTGTGGAACACGAAATGGAAGAAACCGGTAAGTTGTACCGCCTTGCGGAAGAAGGGGATGGCAGCATGCTGAGAGTGAGTGCCAATTGCAAGTGCTCGATAGGAATCTACCCGTTCTTCGACGGTAAATTGGAAGATTTTGAGCCTGTCTTCGCCAAGTTGATTGAAGTCTGTCTTCTCTTCTAGAAACTAAAATGGCAGGTGCATCGTTACTCAACTCTACAGTCCAAACTCCGCCCACCCTACGACTTCGACGCCTACGCCGCCCCTTTCTTTCCCGTCGCCTCAGCCCTCGATCAACGCGCGCAAACCGCCGAGAAATCGAACGATCTCCCGCTCGCATCATCCCTCTACCTCCGGGCGGCCGCTTTATACCGCATCGCTCGTTTCCCCATCCCGCGCTCTCCAAAGCAGAAGGAAGCATGGAGCCTCAACAAAGCCGCATACGTGAAAGGCGCGGGGCTACTTCCTGGGAAATTCAGCGACGTTCAAATACCGCACACGCACCGGATCGAAGGGGAGGGTGCCACCATCCCGGTCTACGTGCGACTTCCAACGCATGCTTCACCCACGAACCCTGTCCCATGTATCATTCAGATCTTTGGCTTGGACGGATACAGGACCGAAATGACGCATGCATCGAACAAGCACCTCGCTCGTGGATGGGGAACTATTGGTGTCGAGATCCCAGGGACAGGCGATTGTCCTGCTCTGCGTCACGATCCTTCGTCTCCAGATCGGCTGTGGTCCTCGTTACTTGACTGGATGGATGGGAGGGAGGAGCTTGACAAGAACATGAGAGTTGCATGGGGGCTGAGCACCGGAGGATATTATGCGATGAGAATTGCGCATACGCACAAAGAGAGATTGACGGGGGCGGTGAGTCACGGCGGTGGGTGTCATAGGATGTTTGAGCGTGAGTGGTTGGATAAGGTGAATCATCTAGAGTATCCGTTTGAGTAAGTACAGCTTTGTGGTCTCTCCCTCAGGATAGAGCGTAAGAGCTGACGTGTGCTGTGCCATAGTCTGGCGGAGTGTCTGGCTGAAAAGTTTGGATATGAAAATGTCGAAGAGCTGAAGAAGGATGGGAAGAGTCGGTTCTCGCTAGTAGAGAATAGCATTCTGGACAAGTCTTGCGCCAGATTGTTGCTTGCCAACGTAGGCTTTCATGCCTCTCCGGGAGCTTGATGCAAGAGGCTAACCAACGGAATAGGGCACGAATGACGAGATCTTTCCCATAGAGGATTCGATGATACCCCTGCAGCATGGGAGCGTGAAAGAGGCGCGGTATGTCTTCTCCTTATCCAAAGTGTGCTGTGACTGAGCATTCTGGCCGTCTGCTGTAGGTTTGTTCCGAATGCAATGCACATGGGGGAACCAGCTGTGGGTCCTGTCGTTCTCAAATGGATCGAAGAGCTATTTGGCCTCGAACAGTCGCCAAAGACAAACGAAGATGTGCAAGTTGGGAAGATGCAAATGTTGCACCAGATGCAAGTATGGATTGAATCTTCCTACAAGTCTTTCTGGAAATAGCCGAGACTCTGGAGATTGAGATGAAGTTCACGAGAGATTGTGTTTGGGGCCCTCGGAGGCAATCTAGCAGTCGTATATATTGGCATCAACGAATGTAAGAGTCTACCATGCGCGAGTGGTCTGATCCTGCATCACTGTTTCACAGATGAAGCCACTAGAAGGGTGATCTGGATGACAGTCCGAGACAGTCCGAAAGTCGACCTACACGTTCGGAAGTAGCAAAGATTACAAATTGTATACCATAGGCTGATCACAGCCCGAGAGGTGCTCATGATGAACAGAAGTTGACAGCTTCCCTCTCAACCCAGGCGAATGAGAAACGAAGTGTCTCAAGAGGAAAATTTATCCTCGATCTGGACACCCAGGAATCGGAGAATCGCGAGAGCATTCAGCATCACATGGGCCAGTACTTACCAGTTGAGCTAGAGTTTCAGGGACAAGGCACAGAGCGCATCAGCGCAAAGCCATCGCCATTTGCCGGGAGTTGATGACAAAACACGCTGAGGATGTGCTCGTCGAGGCTGAGCAGTCCCGAGCAAGTAAGCTCATAACAGGCAAGCCCGAACAGTCGTACAACTGCAGGTCTTCCAGCCCCACAAAATGTACAGACTGAAAGATGCGAATCTATGAATGCATGTTCACCGAAGCGCCTCCAGATGTACTCTATTTGGTCTCGGAGTCAGATATTGAGACGTCATCGATGGTGTACCAGATCTCGTAATAATGCAAGTATAGCGACGTCGGTTTATTTTATTTTAAATACGGTAATGGCCCTTGAAAGATCCGTTGCGGAAGCCCGCCTTCACACCAAAAATGTAAGTAGGAAACCCGGTAGCAAAACGCCGCACGCTGACCTGTAATCTTTCCGACTTAAAGTACATTATTATTACGTAGAGTCCCATTTTAAGTTAGTGGCGTAGGTCGGACAGGAGTTAACGGCTCGAGTCTAAGGTACCTACTTTAAGGTCAAGTAGACGTTTGACGGAGACCGAGACTAACCGAGACTAACCGCGACGCCCCCCCAACCATGCGAGTGGGTGTCCGGAGATAAGGTAATTACCTCCGTCAACTGCCGCGCTTACTCGTACGTACTAGTAAGGGAACTCAAAAGGCAGAACTGAGATGAGATGAGATGTTTTGCTCATGGATCAATTGTACGAAAGGCGTCAGATATGCATCCTGATCCCTGGGTCCAAGCAATTCCTTGCACCCATCCTACGCCCCTCTTCATTGGACCTTGCTTACCGCTTCCACAGACCGGATCAATGCATTGGATCAATGCACGATTCGGTAAACGAACCTTACGCTGTCTGTGCAACATGTGCACTCAACACAACACCGACCCGTCCATCCGCCCGCCAGCGTCCAGATTCATTTTCCTCCCATTCGTCAAGATTCCTTGGCTTCTGACCCTATTTTTAAAATTCGGGGAATTTCCAGGACCCTGAACAGTAAAGAGGCCTGTAAGACTACGTTTTGCACGGGGACCAACGTCTATTACCACCCATCCTCTCGGTCTTTGCCACGACATTCACATCCCAATGAGACCTGTGAGACCACCTCGTGCCCAGGCCCTCATGTCTATGACGGCCTATCCCTTTCGGTATTTGTCACGGTATAAGCTGCTGAGAATCATCTCAAAATGCTCTTCACCTCCAGCTCATCCTATTGTTTTCCGTCATTCTTCTCTACTGATCTATTTGTCTGATTCTTGGCTGCTTTCTTGGATAGTTCAACAATGTTTCTATATAGACCGTTCTCGGCTGTATGCCTCTTGGCATATGCGCCACTTTCTCTTTGCGCTCATGTTTTCTTTGAGATCAATCTTACTTGGGAAGTCAGAGCCCCTGATGGCCAACCTAGATATGTCATTCTGAGCAATGGGCAATTTCCAGGCCCACAGCTGAATATGAATTATGGAGACGATGTAGAGGTTAGTCACTAAGTCCGACCAGAACTTTATAGAGCTAACTCTTCCCAGTTTGTCGTTCACAACAATCTTCCCTTTGATTCGACCGTCCATTTCCATGGTATTGAGTATGTTGGCAAGACTTGAGGAAAACACAAAAGCCTGAAACAGCAAGGCTGACACGATACCAGGCAAACGGATACTCCATGGTCTGATGGAACACCGGGTGTTTCCCAGAAACCTATTCCCCAAGGCGGAAGTTTCACCTACAAATGGACCGCTACTCAGTATGGTGCTTACTGGTACGGTGACAGGCTAACCATCATCGTAGAGCATCAGCTGACATGGCCTCAGGTATCACGGTCACGCACAAGGAGAGATCCAAGATGGCCTTTACGGACCGATATTCATCACGTAAGACGGTAGCCCAAGCTAAATGATTCCCAGCTCACACATCACGGTCTAGGTCACCATCAAGTCAGCCTTCACCTTTCGGACTCATTGCAAATAGCACCAGCGCCAGCATCGCTGCAATGCAAAGCGCCGAGAAGAAAGCTCAATTCGCTCTGCTCTCCGACTGGGACCATTTGACGTCTTCAGAATATCGGGCTGTTGAAGAGGCTTCAGGCCTTGATCTGTTCTGTGTTGACAGTCTTCTGATCAACGGCAAGGGAGCTGTGAATTGCCAGCCCCAGGCAGTGCTTAATGCGCTCACCCCACCGCCTTTGTTACATCTGCTAAATGGATCGACTGTGAGCGATAGAGGGTGAGTCTTTTCCAATTTGCGATTAGTAGTGCAATCGTTGACATCACAAAAGGTGCACGCCACCGAGCAAAGCCGCCTTGGATGAAGGATTGAATTTCACGTCCAACATTGACCTCGTTCCAGCTGGTTTGCTCGATGGCTGCACGCCCACGAATGGCAGCATGGAGACATTCTATGTTGATGCTGCGGATGGGTGGTTCAACCTCCAAATCGTCAGCGCAATGAGTATCAAGACCCCAGTCTTCTCTATTGACTCTCACCCCATGTGGATTTATGCCGTGGACGGTATATACATCGAACCCCAACTCGCCGACACAGTGTTCTTGTACAACGGCGAGCGTTTCTCCGCAATGATCAAGCTAGACCAGACTCCTGGAGATTACACCATCCGCGTCGCAAACTCGGGCGCCGATCAGATACTCTCTGGCTATGCGACGCTCTCCTACCAAAACCACACACCGCACAAAGGTCACCAAAGCTACAACGCGACAACCACCAGCAATGGCACAGTAAATGCTACCGCATACATCAACTATGGTGGCGAAAACACCACTGCTTCCGTCGTCCCCCTTGACGAAACTCTCCTGGTTCCTTATCCCGCCAATAAGCCCGCGCCTACCGCGGACGCAACCCACATCCTCAAACTCGGCCGCCTTGGCGCAAACTACAACTGGTCCCTCAGTGGCAGCAACCTGTATGACACCCAGGCAAACTACCAAACGCCCCTCCTTTTCCACCCCAACTCTACGTCCAACCCTGACGCCTACGATCCTTCCCTGATCATTCGTACCATCAATGGTACCTGGGTCGACATCGTCCTCCAAGTCGTACTCAATGCTGCCGCTCCTGCTCAACCCGCCCATCCGGTCCACAAGCACAGCAACAAAGCTTACCTGATCGGCGCCGGCACCGGTACTTTCAACTACAGCACAGTTGCCGACGCAATGAAAGTGATACCGGGCAGCTTTAATCTGGAGACGCCTTCGTTGAGGGACAGCTTCACTACCCCCAGTGTGTTACAGGGACCTGCGTGGATTGCATTCAGGTACCAGGTTGTCAATCCCGGCGCGTTTTACCTGCATTGTCATATCCAGACACATTTGACGGGCGGGATGGCGATGACGATTATGGACGGAGTGGACGTTTGGCCGACTATCCCTGAGGACTATCTCAACGGCAACGGTGGGTATTAGGGCGGGTTCGATATCAGAGCGGGGCGGGAGCCGGAGCGATGATAGATTTGCGATTAGAGACGGTTCATACTTGGACTATACTTAATACCAACACGAGCGCAAAAGTCGTACAATCGCCACGGTAATCACCGAGATGGAAAAAAAAAATCCATACAATCCGATCACCGCCATCGACACGTTTCAAAACTCCATAGCCACCACCGCTTCCGGCCCCTCACTCGCCTCTCCACCTCATCTATGCCAAGCAAATCAAATCAAATCAAAATCCCCACCACCACCGACACAAAAGATACCATCGTTCCCTTCATCCCCTCACCCCACATCCTCCATCCGGGATATCTCCAACACCAGATTGTAAAGTACCCATCCATCCATCCATCCATCCATCCATCCATCCATCCATCCGCTTTTCCGCCCTAACTCCTCCTCCTCCTCCTCCTCCTCCTCCTCCTCCTCCTCCTCCCTCCTCCTCCTCCTCCTCCTCCTCCTCCTCCTCCCTCCTCCTCCTCCTCCTCCTCCTCCTCCTCCTCCTCCTCCTCCTCCTCCTCCTCCTCCTTCCAATCACCCACCCGCATCATCCCGAGCCCGTTGGACGGCGTTCGGTCAACGAGAGGATTGGCTGGATGCCGGAATCGGTGATTAGGTCATTTTTGTCGTGGGGGGGGGGTGGGGGTGGGGGTTTTGCGAGGGGGGGGATTAGTCAGCGGTTGTTTTTGGGAGGCTTGGTGTTAGGGGCTGAGGGAGTGGGGGGGAAAAGGTGGGGGGGGTTTCATGATGGATGGGGCGTGGGGGTGATGGGATTTTGGGGTTTGGTGGGTTTGGGATGGGATGGGGGTTTTGGGATGGGGGTGGGATTGGGCTTTTGGGATGGGGATGGGGATGGGGATGAAAGGGAAGGGTGTGGGATGTTGGGTGCCAGGTGGAATATTGTAGTGCGGTAGTAGTGAGGAGATTGAGAAGATGGACGGATTCTTGGGTTGATGGGGAAAGTTTTTATTTGGTGGGGATATACACGTAAACCTCCACACCATTTCCTTGCCTCCCAGTCCCCTTGCTCAATTACATCTCCCTTCCTCTTCTTTCCCCCCTCTTTCGCCCTCACTTCACCTAAAAGTAAGCAATGGGGTTCTCACTCGCCTCCACCCCCGAAGCCACATCCCAGTACTCCACCAGACACGTTCCGATCATCCTCCATATACCGGCGATGTCACCCTCGCCGAACGCAACGCTGTTGCCTCTGAAGTGGATGGTGCCGAAGGATGTGCCGGTTAGGTTGGTGCCGACGAAGACACGTTGGAGGACGACGGAGCCGCCTTTGAGCTCGGCGCTTTGAAAGGGGATTACGATCGCGGTGCCGTTCTGTGTCGTGTGCGTATGTGTCAGCTGTCAGATCGCTTCCGGGTAGGAAATAGAGCCACGAGACGATTCCGCGACTAGGAGCGTATGGAACAGAAACGGAGAGATTCGTGCAGAGAGAATGTCTCTTGTGATTGACAAATGGAGATGGAATAGGATTACTGCTTACACCAGCGACCTCGGGGGCATGATTGATAAAATCCACGGCGGCATAAGTGTCGTAGCCAAGAGCTACTTCTTGGTTCACGAATACCTCGTTGGCGA